CCGAGCGGATACCGTGCCTAAGCAAACATTCCTCCGGGAATCTGTGCTGCAGAAATGCCTTGAAGCACTCGCTGGCATCTCACAGGGAAAATCGTGGGCCAGGGAGGGAGGAGCATGTCCTTCTGCCGGCCGGGCTCCAGGGCCCGAGGCAGAGCATCCCTCCATGTACGGACCGCGGAGGTGCTTTGGGAAGAACGTCACGGACCTGAAACAAACCCGTTGCTGTCCTGAAAAGCAGCTTCAGGGCCAGCGAGAAACCCCACCAGCTCCAAGCGGGTTCATCATTGCCCCGGGGGTCATGAGTGATAGGAGAGTCAAATGGAAAGACCTACCCCAGATTCATTTTTCTTTGCTACTTTTTAATTTTCCTGATTAAACCTTCCTCCGGGCAGTGCTTTTAAAAGCTTCGTAAGGGGAAGGCTATCTAGTATGGGGAAAAAAAAAAAAGGTTTTAGTTCAGGATTAGTGGGGTTTTTTTGCAACAGCAGAGAATTCAGCTAAAATTTGCTAGGAGCAGCCCAGCTGCCCCATGGGTCCTGTTTGGAAAGTCCTGGAGCTGCCCGATCCCGTTCCAGGCACGTGGGGAGAACAGGCTGCTGTGGCTCAAACTTGCCTTGGGCAACGACCCTTCTTCTGAATTCCCCCATGAGTATTGACTCACATTAAAAAAGAAAAGCAGGTGACGCTGGCAGGACCTTGCCACCGCATCTGAAAAAACATGAGAAAATCCTATCCCGCTAAAGCCGCTGCGCTTCACGCTGCGGGAGGAAGGCGATGTGTCTTCTCCCGACCGGGAGGCACGGGAAACCACGATTCGCCTTTGTGGCTTGTGCAAACCGCTCCACGGGGTGACAAACCTTCCCTGGCAGACTATTTCCTTCTCAACGGGATGTAGCATTTCTAAAAAGCGCAGATTTTTATTACACTTATTCACGGGGCTCATGAAAATAAAACCCAACGGCAGCTCCGTCCCACCGATGCTCTGGCCGGGAGAGCGAAACGCCAGCGGCATCCACTCACCATCCCGACGGGCCGGCAGGAGCCCAGGTGGTCGCTGCGGCCGTTCCAGCGATAGAAATCGGGGTACTCGCCGTGCTCCAGGACGTACTGCTGCCCTCGGAAGTGGGGGTGATCGAAGCAGACCCAAGCCCCGCTCTGGACGCAGATGGAGTTGACCCGATTGAGGAAACCTCGGTCCTGGAAGCTGCTGCAGCTGCCGCAGACCTCCA